CTTGGATGCATATATTGGAACGCCAACCTATGCGGAATGAAGCTGCTGATGGAAAGAGGTGACACTAGACTGAATAGCGAAGCTCATTGAGTATCCGATTTATAGAGGGATTATTCCCATCATAAGCATCCATCTATATTAAAACACCTGCAGGGTCTTATCCCAGAAAAAAAATAATTTACTAAAAAAGTGTACGAGTTTACTATGGTCTCAGAAAAACCAAGCAATGCTTCACCACATGGTTCACCACATGGCTCGAGCAATGAAGCAGCACCTCGGCACCGATTTTCTTTGTCTATATGAATAGGAATATTTCGTACAAGATTCGTCATTTTTTATAGTACTTCTGGGTTCTTGATTTTCAAAATGTATATTCTGAATTTTCATTGCTTTGAATATTTTTGCATGTAGAGCATTTTTTACTGCACTGTTCGCCAGCTGGTAACCAAAAATTACTTTTTGCATTTTTATTCACCCCAAAACATTTTTGTAGCTATGCAACACAAGTTTTTGGAAAGAGCATTTCATTGCAAAAAATTTGGTATGCTGCAATGTGTGCTGGAGTACTTTTCAAACTGGCAAAACTATCTTGCCGAGGCATATTAAAAATAACCATTTTTGCGTGGCAGTGAAAGAGTTCATGACAGGGCAAGGGAGCATCAGCTTTCAATTGAAAGTAAGAATGTAGTGAAGAGGAATGCTCACTACTGCAGCGACATCAACACGTTGGCGCGAGGCGCAAGCTAGGGCTGCGTGGTTGCTGCTGCGACGACGCCCGTTCAGCTCTTGCTGCTTCTGTCCAGACGCTGCTACCGCTTTTTGCCTAGCATTTACGTTATATTTTGGTGGAGGCTGCTGCGGTTTTCCCCGGTCCTGGAATTGCGTAGCCGAAAGCTGCCGTCCATCATGCCTGATGACGCTGTCTTCAAATCCCCAGGGCTTTGCCGCCCAGGGGCAGTCCTGGTGCCCAGCTCCCGCGAGAACCCAACATCTTCAGCGGCACAGACAAGAAAGACGTTGAGGATTGGCTGGAATACTATGAACAAGCCAGGGCTACCAATAAATAGAATGATGCCGTGAAACTCGGTACAGTGATGTTTTATTTAACGGATGTCGCCAAGCTGTGGTACGGAAACCACGAGGCTGACATTAATTACTACATGAACGACCTTCAAGACCTGCATCACAGCTGTTTTTGGACACGCTGGGGTGCGCAAACTTCACCCAGAACAACGCCTATGAAGCCAGTCCCAACAAACTGGTGAGACATTCACCAGCTACATTCAGGACATCCTCGACCTCTGCCAGCGTTTTGACCCAAAGATGGTGGAAACCGACTAGGTAAGACACATTATGAAAAGCATTCCCGACGACCCCTTTCAAATGTTCCTCTCAAAGCACCCTGCCACTGCCTCGGAGCTCATCGAGCTGTGTCAAGAGTTTCGACGAGCTCCGACGACAGCGTCTTCTCAAGCGACGCCCTAATGACACCCTCTCATCTCAAGCCTGACTACCACCTCTGACTTTCAGTCGCTGCTATCGCAGATCAAGGAGTTTGTTCGTGCTGAGGTTGCTCGTCAGCTGTCGCTGCTATTAACAGCCCACCATCACATCTGCCAGCAAACATTTTTGAGGTCATCCAGGAGCAAGTTTGCGCGGCTCTCCTATCTGCCCGCGACATGTTGCCGATGCCAACCCCTATGGCCTGTGCAAATGTGAATGCACCTCTAAGCTATGCTGAGGTTGCCGCACGGCCACCTCTTCAGACTTTTACGTCACTACTATCAGTCGCGCCGCTGCGACCCACTCCTCGGTTCGCTCGCCAAAGTCCCTCCAGAGTAGTGGACAATGGCGTACACCCGACAATCGGCCAATATGCTTTGCTTGTGGCCTGCCTCGCCACATAGCGTGATACTGCCATTGGCGTGTCCCTGTCTATCACCAGAACTACCACCAGAGCTTCGAACCTGCCCCTTATGTGCCACCACGCCCTTCGTTAGCAGATTCTCAGTATCCTGACCAGATATTGTACGCCGACCACCGACCACTGCCGCGCACAATCACCAATGCGTAGTATTCCTTTATCGCCAGAGCGAGAGAACTAATTGCTAATTCCATAGGCAGGAACTGTGTCACCCGCCAAAAGACCAAGGCTTCTCTCTTGACCGACGAATGTTCTGGGCGTATATATGGACGCTGCACTCGCTCTTGTCGACACTGGTGCCGTAGTGTCAGTGATCAGTGCGAGGCTCTGCCGCTTGCTCAAAAAAGTTATGACGCCACTAGCAAGTACATCGCTTCGTACAGCTAGCGTAGAGCATGTCATGCCGGCCACTGCCTGTACTGCTCGCATTGCGATTGACTGCCTCATCTATGTCGTCGAATTGCTAGTGTTGGATTCCTGCTCCCATGACCTCATTTCAGGCACGGACATTCTCTCCGCTAATATGGCCGTCATCGACTGCTCTCGCCCTGACGTGGCATTTGAAGTGTTGAGCAATCCTCTTTCATATGACGCTCTTGAAACTGGGGACAAACTATTTGTTGCTGAAGACATTACTATACCGCCGCACTTTTTTGTCTTGCTAGACGCTCACAGAGTCGAGTGCCCTTTTCACGCCATCTGCCATTTTCGTTCGTCGCAAGTGTTGGCCGCTACCTTATGCCTTTTTGTAACTTCGTGATGGCGTCAGAAGACTGCTCATCTCATATCTGTTGTCATGTCCTGTAACACTACTTCAGGGCGAGTGCGTCGGGTGTGTTTACAGTCTCGACCCTTCTGCAATTATCGACATGCCGACTGATTCTTTCGCTGAACATGAAGTCGCTGGATTGACCTGTGCCTCTTCATCGCAGAAAACTATAGACTGACATACTGAGCAGCTCCATCCCAGACACGTTAACCGTTTGGCAATGCGCTTAGCTTGTACAACTCCTGAAAATGTTCCATTCTTTTTTTGACTGCCAGCATAGTCCCCTCAGCCGCACCTCAGCTGTGTGCCACCGCATCGATACGGGCACCAATGCACCACTCTGTTGAAGACCCTTTCGCGTGTCCGCGATAGAGCGCCAGGTTATCGGCGACCAAGTAGTTGACATGCTCAAGTATGGCGTCATCTAACCTTCGAATAGCCCCTGGGCATCTCCAGTCATTCTTGTTAAGAAGGACGGGTCGATTCGCTTCTGCGTTGACTACCGTCGCCTTAAAAAAAACAACCGGAAAGGATGTTTACCCCTTATCGAGAAGCGACGACGCCCTTGACTGCCTCTAAGGTGTGAAGTTATTTTTTTCTATTGACTTGATTGATATGTGAGGTTTAACATCCCAAAATTACCATATGATTATGAGAGACGCCGTAGTGCTTTTCTATTGACTTACGGAGCGGCTACCGGTAAGTCCCTATGGCACCCAAAGATCAACCTAAAACGGTCTTTGTCACACCTGATGGCTTTACGAATTCCTTGTCATGTCTTTGCAACGCACCCCCAACATTCGAGCGAATGATGGACAATCTTTTGCGCGGCTTGAAGTGGAAAACATGCCTCTGCAGTTTAGATGACGTGGTTATATTTTCGCCTGATTTTCCCACGCATCTCTGCAGGCTAAATGAAGTACTACGGTGCCTAATTGATGCCGGCCTTCACCTCAACCTGAAAAAATGACACTTTGGTGCAAGTCAGCTCACGATCCTCGGCCATGTTGTCTCTAAAGACTGTATTTTTCTTAACACTGCCAAGCTTTGGGCAGTTGAATAGTTCCTTTAACCTTCTTCTCTGAAGGATATGCACAGCTTCCTTGGACTCTGCTAGTATTTCCGCTGCTTTATTCGGAATTTCGTGATGATCACAGCCCCTTTGACTGAACCTTTACGGAATGACTCGAAAAGTTACGCTTGGTCACCCGCCTGTGACGATGCCTTCAAAAACTTGCGCCACCTGTTAACCTCAGCGCCAATCTTGTGTCACTTCTACCCGACTGCTCCGACTGAGGTACGCACCAATGCCAGCAGTGTTAGACTTGGCGCCGTGCTCGCGGAGTGCAAATTGGGATTCCAGGAGTATGTAATCGCATACCCTTACCAAAGCGTAGAATTATTCTGTGACAGAGAAGGAGTGTCTGGCAATTATTTGGGCTCCAGATAAATTTAGACCGTACCTATATGGCCACCCCTTCGACATAGTTACCGATCACCATGCGCTTTGCTGTTTCTCCACTTTGAAGGGCACCTTCAGCCGTTTAGCTCACTGGGCTTTGCGGTTTTGTCCTATTCTGCCCCCTTCCCCACCTTTTTTTCATCTATATGGGTTGCGTCCTCAACATTTCTTGAGATTAAACGCCCAACAATCTTGGTAGGAAGCGCAGCAACTTATTCAGGGAACATACGACACAAGCGCTTACCAACTACCCCAATATAATAACCCACTGGCCCGATATAGTTGTTTATTTTGCCCAACAAAACTTTTTTTCATACAGGGTAATGATGAGGCATTGGTGACACGTGACAAAACTTTTGCACAACAGAGCGTTCATGTGTTGTGGCTTGCAAAACGCTGGGGGTTTCACGGTCACACTTCTACACTCACCTGATCCAAATACATCATCAAAGCCAAAAGTACGAAAAGCTGGTCTTGCTGGTAGCACATGAATAAAAAGAGCCACAGGACACACTGAAAGAGAACAGACTTCCAACAAAATTGTTAAGGCAGCGCTGCGTGCGTCGGTTTCCTGTGTGTCTGGTTATCTGTTGCGCTGTTTTTTTTTTACTATCATAGAGGCCTAGATAATGGATATGTCCTGTGGCATGCAGGTGAATGGCACCAAAGGTGCGGGGGCGGTTGTAGGGCACAAAGCATCTCAAGTAGTGGCAGGTGAAGCGTGTGCGCATAAACTAGAGGCGATGCAAATTAAGTGCTGCAAGCACTAAAGCAAACCAAATGTGTATTCACTACGGCAGCGAACAAGTTAGGACGACTGAATAACAACGAGTGTGCCAACTAACCTTGGCATACATGCACGCCGTGCTCAGATATGGCACTAGGCGCACCACGCCCGTCTTGCGCGTTCGGAAGAGCACCACAACGGCCACGAACGTGAGGATCTCGGTCTCCCTGAAGTCCAGCTGGCAATCACCGCCAGGGAATAGCACATCACAGAACGGCCGCACCAACCGAAGCACAGGGAAACAGGCCGCCAGAAGCAGGTTCACCAGGTAATGCGGGTGCAGCAGACGCCGCAACTCGGCTCCCGTCACAAGCGTCATGGCTACCGTGCTCCTAAGCTCAACTCACATGTGGTGAGGGTCCGTTTTCCTTCTCCACGCCAAGGACAGCCTTCGAGATTTCCACTGAGATATGTGACCGCTGTTCGATCGCACGCACGGAGGAAGGAAACGTCCCACGCGTCTATTTGCCCAACGCCTCCTAAAAAAACTTATGCCTGGAACGTGACCCACGAACGCGCTGCCCTTCTGTCCTCCTACGAAGGCAACGAAAGCACAGAACACCTATATGATGGTGGATGGATGGATGTGGCTGTACCCTCTAGATAAGGCGGCGGCTAACGCCACCTAGTAATTTTGACCTGTGGTGCGTGACATTACATTCCAGCAACGTTGGATGGATGGATGGATATGGCTGTATCCTTTAGATCGGGCGGTGGCTAGCGCCACTGAGCCACAATACTTAGGCAGAGACTGCTGCACCGCGCGGTGCACGAGCCACCCCCACACAGAGACGATAGTTATAGCGCGAGAACAAAACGACGACACAGAGACAAGAAGGACACGAAAGACACGAGCGCTAACTTCCGAGTTTATTGCGCAGAGCACGAAAATATATAGAGGAGACAGTGACCATGTGATAAAAACCATATGGCACAAAGAGCAGAACATGAATAAGAAAAACAAAAACAAACAACACAAAAACAAAGACACTAAAAAACAGCAAAGAAAAAACCTAGAAGAAAACGAAACAGAACGGTTAAGATAAAATAACTACCTGCCCGCACCGAAACCTTCGAGGAACCTGCGTTCCTTCTCAGACAAAGCCACGGAGGGCTTGCTAATACAAGGCACCTGTTCGCGTGGGAAGTGTTTCGGTTCCCCCGGTGGCACGAACCTTTTCGAGGCAAAAGCGTTCGGTTCACCCAATAGCCGCCTAAAACCGGCTTCACTTGGCTTAAAGTGTATGAGTAGTTGACGTTAAAATTGGTGTGTAGGAAAACATTTTTCAGGCAATTTGGGTGTTCTTTATTCTGTGGTTCCGGTAGAGTTCCTCACTAGCTTGTGACACACAGTCTGTGGCGGGTTCATCGTATTCTAGTCGTGATGTTTTTTTCTCCGATGTTGGTGTTGGATTGGACTGTAATCTGTTTGAAATGGCGAGAAGCGCCTCTGCCCGTGGGGTCGTGGTCGCTTTCTGTTGTTAGAAAGTGATTCATACGCAAGTCGCTGCCGCTTTTCTTAATTCCTGTGATGTCGCCGTGTTCAGGAGCTTCTTATCCGTGCTTATCGAGTAGTTAACGTCATTCGCCCGAAGCACAGAATTAACACCTACCAGCCCGAAGTGCTTGCCACCAAATCTACAAGCAATGACAACGAGCATAAAATAAAGGCCTTTGGAACGCGATTTGTGAATGTTGGTCTGATGCATGTACTACGCGGATGTATGGTACGTGCATGCGTGTTGCTTGAGGACCGATCAAACAGCTGGTGTCACTTGGGAGGAAGTATATACTGTGCCAACGCTTTCATTGAAGCTTGTTCTTGCGTAAGTGCGCGAGATAGATACGGAATGCACAAGTTGGAATTAGAGAACGTTCTTGTCCGAGTGGCTTTATTAAGCAGTCGCAGATGATGGCAATTTGTTTGCTTAGCAGTGTGTGTTTAGATTGGGGTAACCAACAGTGAAGGTAGTTGTGTGTGGGTGAGGAAATTAGTTTTCTTTGTTGCGGTGCCTTCCAAACAAATTCCGTTATTTCTGCTCTTCATTGCGTCGGTCTCTTGATGTGGCACTAAATGTTGCTATGTGCTCTTCGTGACACTTCCTCTCGCTCTAGAATGCTCTAGTAAAAGTTGACACTAAAGTTCAGCTGAAGTGTTTAAAGTTCCTTGCAGCTAACCACAGCAACATTTCTTTGTCTATGTGATCAGACGGACGCTCGTTATTTGGCATGCCTTTTATAACGCAAAACGTTTCTTTTTTTTTCATTTACTGAACAGTTCGGAAAAAATCGGGGACATTTGTCCTGACTGGGACAGCGCGGGCAAAGTCTTGGACAGTCCAGCGAAATTCGGGACGGCTGATAACACTAGTTTAAGCAAGTGTATAAAAATGAAAAAAATGTAATAAAATAGAAATTTCATTGCTGGGAGCATTGTCGAGCTTCAATTGCTAACCCGTAAAGGTCTTTTTAAACGTTAACATTGCCGCAATGCAGCAGTGTCATGGGTGAAGTGCTTGCCGTGTATTGCAGTAAAGCATACATTATGCGCGCGTGTATGTGTGTGAAATGGAAGCGTAGCACTGCTATTAGGCCTAATGCGATGCGCCGTGCTTTGTCTCATTACTGGTCATGCGACAGACGACATCAGCACCAACTTCAACCTTTGTAAAGAGTCCATATGTTCCCCCCATAATTATTTTTTTTTAATTGTGGCAAGTGATTCACACTGCAGTAAACTTCTAGTATATCGCATGAATAATTTAAAATTGTTGCATGGCCCCCAATAAACAAGTGAAAAATACCTGTGACAGACTCCTTGGTACTCCAGATTTTGTGCTCTAAAATGAAAATGATCAGATATGTGCTCTAAAGTGAAAATGATCATTATTAGTGAAATATATACTCAGGCTAGGTATTGAAGACGATTGTGCATGTTTTGCAAATTTCCTTTTAAAAGCTCATGCTTCACTTTATCGGGCTTTCTTTAGTTATTAAGAAAAAGAGCTCCCCAAGAATGGTCTAAAATTAAACACACAGTTTGTCATGGGGCAAGTTGAGCTTAGCAAGAAAATGATTTATGAAAACCATTCTGTCGCGTAACTAAGAGCAAGCTGGTTTCAGGAAACATGTTGACCTGAGATGATGGCACGTGTTCACGCATCTTACAAAGGCTGCTTGTTGTTATAATGTGGCTGTAATTAGACAAATGTCTGTCATCAGGTGCGGAGATACATCGCATCTCTAATGACCGAATTTTTAAAGAATAGGTTTTCAGGGGATGCTAAAAACTTTTTTTGAAGGGGCTGAGCCTTAGAGAGCATTACTTTATTAAAGTCTCCAATTTCATTAGGTTAGCACTGAGGCTTGCAGGTATGTTAAATGAGCATGGTCACTTGAGTAACACTCAGAGGTCAATAATTATAGGGTGAACAGCAAGGTATGTATGAAACAAGACTATGCAAATTGCAGAAATAGACATAATGAAGTTGTCGAGAAGACTTTGTTAACAGTACATTTACAGGCTTCATGCAGAATTTGCTTTCCAGCAGGGTGAATTTACTTTCACTGATTCTTTCGATGGCATCATTGCAGTTCATAAAGCACTGGTTTTACGGACTGCACGTGATTATCTTGTTTTTTCAAGGTTCATGTACTGATTAAAAAGTATAGGATCAAGAAACTTACATGCTGTCTTAAGGCATAATCAGGCTCACCATAGAGGTAAGTAGTGAGATTTTAGTTAGTTGTATGTGGGAGGTCTGTGTACATAACATCATAGTAATCTTGCAATGCTATAGCTTTATTTGTGTAACGAGTGAAGCTTCTTTTCCTGTTGAAAATTTCTGCCAAGCAAACAAGTTCCAACAGTAGGATTTGCCCTTGGGTAAAGCAGGTGGTAAGAGTGAGCTTATTCAGAAGCCCTTCAAGAGTACCCACTAAAGGAATTAGTACCTATAGGGCAAAAATTCTAGTGCACCAAGAAGGGCAAGGGAGGACGGTGCAGGTTAACATTTCAGGAGGGCATCTTCTGGACATCATCCTTCTCTAGCCATAAGCTTGTATGGCCAATGTTTAGCAGACTCCTACTAACATAAACTAGGCATAAATGTTGCTTCTCTATTGCAAGATGACACACCATATACCTTTTGAGAGTCTCCTCACCATAAGCCCTTACATTAGCCTAAAAATATTTTTTTCTACGGTGCCCTTTTTTTGTCCTAAACAGTTGTCTGAAGCAACAATATGCACATTGTGACAGTCTAGCTGGTGACCACAGAGATGGCTCCCGCCATCACGATGTATACTCCACTCAAAATGTATGACACTGCAAAATCATAGTCCGGTGTGCGTGCATACGACCTTGAACATGCAAGCAGTGACCACTTCTCTTGTGTTCTCTGCACTGGCGCATGCTTGTTGCACACCTGTTCAAGATTGTGACAGTGAAATTAGTTCTGGCAATGCTGTCTCAGAGGTAAGACTGTGTACACCCTTAGGAACACCATGGTGGAGCGAGCAGAGATTCATATCAAATGTAGTAATAAACTGGCAACACCATGGTGATATAAGCACACTTGCATTAATTTATTACATTTTTATTGAGGCAGACATCACACAGCTAAGCCTAGTTGTGATCTTTTTTCATTATTGTCTACATAGTTTTCCCGTTGGTCACAGCACAGGAAGAAAAATTTCTCTGTGGGAGCACCATACTTTAAGCTTGCATAACTCCAATGAAGCACTGTGCGAACAGATATATTGAAAATGTCAATACTTCGGGTCCTATAAATGGTGAACTGGTTGTCACATTCAGCCGGTGATCCTGCAGGAGCTTTAGCATATACTCTAAGGTAATTTTGCATCAACAATGCCACATACAATAGTTTAACAATGGTTGTTAATGGGCAAGATGATGCATAGCTTCAGGGAGGTAATTAAGCTAAGGCAGAAAATTATAGATGCCTAAGCAGCACTGGAAAAATAAAAAAGCACAGAAAAAGAGCATCGGTCGCAGCTGAACTACAGAAAATATTTACACTGCACCACACATTCGCATCGTCTAGAATTTTCCCTAATAATGTTATACCAACCTGCCTAGCAGCAAGTACTTCTAAAGTAATAAAGTGCAGAATGACACTTGCATGAGACAGGGAACAGGACGCGAGTTAACTGCCATCTATCTTTGTGGCTTTGGTAGAAAATATATAAGGAAACAGACATGTGCAGAGTGACAGTGTGCAATGTCACAGCCATCAAAAACATCACTTAACATTGCCTGCTCGAGAAATTTTCCTGGTTTTCAAAGTTTCAACAAATGTGTCACAATTAAATACACCACTTCTTTTCCAGCTTGAACTGCTTCCAACAGTTCACATCTATCAGGACTGCTGCCTGTAGTCTTTGTCTGGTATTTAATCTGAACTGACATGCCCTAACACTTACACACAATCAGCCATATTTGTCTATCTACTCTTAACAGCCTGTAAGTCCACGTGTAACAACACACGCTCCACCCTTCCAGTGGTCATAGTCCATACGGGTCATTATATCATTC